TTAAAAATCCTCAAATAATAAGTTTCACTGTGTTTTCGCAAAAGTCTTAAAGGATAGTTAGGATGCTTCAATATAAGACAGGGTCTCCAACTCCTGAGCCGCAGACTGGTACAGGTCAGTGGCCTATTAGGAACTGGGCCACACAGCAGGAGGTGAGCGGTGAGACAGCAAGCGAAGCTTTATCTGTATTTGCAGCTGCTTCCCAGAGCTAGCATTACTGCCTCAGCTCCACCTCAGATCATCAGGCATTAGATTCTCAGAGGAGCATGGGTCCCTGGTGCCAAAAAGCTTGGGGACTGCTGATATAAGAAATATATTAGTATAATTCTCATAATTGCATTGAACATAAAATTCACATTGATTTTCTTTAGGTATAATGAAAATGTATTTATAAAATTCAGCATGCATTTCTATTAGATGCTAACATACAAAGGATCATTTATAACAAACTGATAAGAAACATAATATTGAGATTTCTCAAAAAATTAAAAGCAGAACTACCTCGTGATCCAGCAATAATAAATTTTAGAAGCACTAGAAAAAAAAAACACAGTTCATGTTAAAAAATAATCTTTGGACTCAAGTAGATAAAACAGAAATGACATCAATGGCCCAATCATCCAGTTTCCCATCTCTGGCCTGACTCCCAGATCTGAGGGTCACCCTTGAGATAGACGTAGTTTAAAGGTGACACCGTTTTAAATGGCTCCATGAGGTCCATGTCTGAAGTGTGTTGGATCCATAGTCTTTTAATTTCTGGCAGAACGACAAAAGTAGGGATAGATATCAGAGTTTCATTCTGATGAAAATTGTTTTAACACCACTGTGTTGCATTCAATGAACATGGCTCTTCCCACCTCCATCTGCTTCTGTTCACAGAAACCAAAACAACTTTTTCTTGGTTCCTTTCTCCATGGTATAAGGGAGGAGGTCTAATTACTATTGGCTAAAGCAACCAAATATTTAATAAGTTAAATATTTATTTTTCTGGCTGAGACAGATGATCTGCACACAGTTAACTTTAATTAATTAAAAAAATTGAGCCAACTTATATCTTTATTTAAATCCAATTATTTTCAACTAAAACCAGGATACTGTAAAGAGACTTCCAGTTGTATTGGCTAACATCTGCTTTACTTTTTGTCACCTAACCAAGTGAAAAAAGAGTATAAAATTCTACAAAGGTATGCGAGGTTAAAAAATAAAAACCCTTTATCTGTAGTTATTTGGAAAATTCATTCTGAACAAGATTGAAACCAGATATTGAGCACTCAATATGTGCAAGGCACAATGCTAGGCACTTTTTACACATTCTCTCATTTAATCATCAGAACAAACCTTCAAAGTAGTGTTACAGCTGTTTTACAGAAGAAAAACAGAATGATGCCAGCAGCCTTAAAGCTCCCTTAATGTCCCTTCCAAATTACTGTTGTCCCCGTCCTAAAAGTAATTGCTGTCCTGATTTTTAACACCGAAGTTAGTTTTGCCTCTTTATAAAAATAAATATGTAAACTTTTGTGTTTGTGTTTGTGAGATTCATCCACATTTCACTTAATCAAAGTTTTTTTTTTAATTTACATTGTTTTATAGTATGAACACTATTATGAATATTCTTGCATATGTCCTTAGGTGAATGTGTGTGCAAATGCAAATAAATCATTTTACCCAGACATATAGTAAGAGTTCTATAAATGCTACCTGTATTACTGCTGCTACGATTATTTTTATAACTGGTAAAATAAATGACTAAAACTGTTTGTAATTTCCCTACCAGATATTGTTTGATTTCTCGACTAATTTCTTGGCTCATTTCTGAAATCATTCTGATATTTTAAAAAAGATGTACCTCAATTAGTGGACACACATAACATATCAGTTACAATTCTAAATCTTGACAAAACCACTCTAACTAATACAAACATTCTTTATGCTAACATAAAGAATGGCAAGTTCTGGCAAACTAAGTTTCCTTTGGGGTTCAGTTCTTAGACTTATGGATAAGAGAATAGTGTTTATGTTTTACAACTTGACTCCAGAAATCCTTCAGATATAGATTCTCCTGATACTGTGGACAAAACAGAGAATAAGAACTGTAGTATAGCGCAAACAGATATATCGATAAATGGTCAAATACCTCTGCTTACTGGCAAACTCTAGGGCATGCCACACACCCTGTTCCTTTTCTGGATCATCTTCTGATCAATATCTTTCTCACATACTTGGATGAAGGTATATTTAGATTGACTTCTAAAATTTACAGTCTGCAAATTCTTGCTTTGATTATCTTTCACAGCTTAAGAAACAGACATAAATTTGTTAGGCAAAGAAAATGCAAAAAGAGTGATAGAATATTCATCTGTATTTGCATATTAGCAAATGAGAGATTACTTGTCCTCTATAGCCTCACATGGAAAATTGGAGCCTATAGATATGGCAAAAAGAAAAAATAATCAAGTGACTGGACGTGGTGAAAGGAACAGGGCTGGTATTCATGGACATAGGAATGGCCAATATTATATTAGAAGTGGTTATTTATAGACTTGACACAAATCCATAATCTAGATAACAAGTAGGAAAATGCAATATACTCAACAACACAGTCCGAGAATTTAATGTCCTTGAACAACGTACGTAAAATAAGAAACTATGTTTGACAATGGTTTATATTTTTACAAAATCTAGAGGGTTTGATTATATCCAGTATGTATTAATTATAAGCTAATAACATGACTAAAAAAGCTAAGGCAATTATAGATATTTTAATATCTTCCATAAAGATTTTGCATAATTTTTGTGTGATTCATTCTTAGATGCTTAATATTTGTTGATTGTTGTAATTTCATTTTTTAAAAGAATATGTCATTTTAACTGTTGATGGTATGAAGAAATGGAACAGAGTTTTGCACATTTATTTTGTGTCCAGAACCTTGCTAAATGATCATATTTTAACAATGTATTTAAGAATACTTTTGGATTTTCTATGCAATCTCAACCATAATCTGTGAATAATGACAGTTCTGTTTCATGTTTGACAATCTTCTATCTTTTAAGTCACTTTATTGCCTTATTGAATTGGTAAAAACACCCGAAAAATAGACATAAGAAGATGTTTATGGTTGATTTTTTTGCAAACTGCAGGGGAATAATTTCAGTGTATCATAGAGAGGTATAATATTTCCTCTAGGTTTTTGCAGACAACATTTTATCAGGGAAAAGAATATTTCATTCTATTCCCAGTCTGGTAAGAACATTTATTACAAATAGACGTAGCATCATATCAAACTCTCCCCCCTTGTTTTTTCTTTAATCTGTTAATGTGTTCTTACATTAATTGGTTTTCTGGTGCCTCATAACTGGGATCTCATTGACTATGTAATCTGTGGTAGTTTGGCTTTGATTCAGTTAAAATGTTCTCGCTATGTTAACTAAGTGCCTCCAGTACCTCCTTGTAAGTGACCTTTCATTAATATCAGGAAGTATTGATTACTCTCTCCTTGTACCACTCTTTGCTCTTGGTTACTTTAAAACCCTAGTCTTTTGGTTTCCCTCCTCCATTTCTCTGCTTTTCAGTCTTTACTTTTTTTTTTCGTCCTCTGGTGTTCCTCGGGACCCTTGGAGTTCATCACCTCTTACGGAATGGAGTATGTGCTAATGATTCCCAAATCTCTGCTAGTAGTCTAAATTATTTTCTGAGGTACAGTAACAAATACCCAAGTGCCTAATCCATCCATCTTTTCACTTGGATAACTTACAGATATTCCAAAATGTTCAAAATAGAACCCATCATCTTCCAACTGCTCTTCTTTCTCCTGCCTTTTGGCTTTAAAACTGCTCTCCCTCCCATGATTCCCTCAGGTTACAGTTATCCACGCATCCAGATGCAAAAGAAGAAAGCTTAATGTCATTCCTGGCTTCTCTTCCTCTTTATAGCCCCCAAATTCATCACTAAACCTTACTGAGTCTATGTCCTAAATACTACTCATAGCCATGGATTTCTCTCCATCTCTAGACATTAATCTAGCCAAAAATATTATTCTCCTCTCAAAAATACTACCAAATTTCTTTATTTTCATTCAGCCTTGCTTTATTTAAGAAATTCCTTTCTGTCTTCTTTCTTTCCGTCCTTCTTTCTTTTCTTCTTTCTTCCCTCTTTCCTTCCTTTCCTTTATTCTTTTTTCCTATAAATTTAAATACTTGTTCTAAATTAAAATATTTTTATTTATACAAAATAATTTACCAATAGTTCATTACACAAAATTGTTCTTGACATATACATTTAAAAAATTAATTAATAGAATTTAATTGAAGAGTGTGAGAAACATTGAAAAGGGCCAAGTTTTTTGACGATTTCATTTTTTTTGATGTTGTTTGCTACGCTTGAACACTTAATACTAACAATATAATTTTGCTGAAACATGAAGACACAAAGTCTGAGTTTGTTTCTGATGCATTATTGGATTTTGTCAAAATCACTGTTCCTAGAATGCAGAACAGATATTTCTGTTTACTATTTCCTTATTTTACCTGAAATGATTTTCTACCTATTTTCTGTCTATTAACACTAACTTGACAGCATTATGTCTCTGGCTGAAACAAATAGAACAAGTGCAAAGGTAAAGAGCAAAACTGGGGAATATGTTTAATTGTGAATATGTTACTCTGACATACTCGAGGATCGTTTAGATTGAAATTAAAGTAAATTATCAGTTAAAATATTTTAACTTCAGAAAAGTAGTTTGGGTTTTGGTGTGTTTTTGTATATTGTTTGATCAGTTCAGAATATGACTTGCCAGTTTCCACATGAAATTCTAAGTATCTTCAAAATCCAAGGCAAATATCATCCCCCTTTCTTCCACTGATGGTAATGTTTGTAGTTACCTTTTCTATATTCACATTACATTTTATCTCATTGTTTCTTTCTTTGTTTTCACTATTTTATAGATTTCCTAATGCTTTTTCCTTTTTGTAGTAACCTATACTACATTTAGAAAAAGTCGTGATGCATAGCAGGCACTCACAAAATATGTCCTTTGAACAATAACTAAGTTATTTAGATTATCTCTACAACTTTCTTTGAAAAACAACTAAAATATTTGGATCCCAATAGTATAGCATTTCAGGTGAGAAGTAAAGTACAAGTCAGTGAAAAAGAATCTGACTCATATTTGCATGCTACCATATTTGACTTTAACCTTTTGATTGTTACCATGACTGGAAATTTTCAGTCCGTGCCAATGATAAATGGAAACACAAACTGTTTGGTTTGGAAATTAGTAGCTCTTTCAAAGACATAAAAAACATTTTCTTGAAAGATGTGAGACTGTATACCTTAGCAGATCTTTCTGGATTAAGACCAGAATTACAATAAAAGCAGAAAGATTTTCTTAAGCATATATAAGACTGTATCCAAGAGCAAGAGGTTCTGCGTAAGACTGAAATTGGAAAAAAGCAATGAAGATAAGTATCGGAAATGGATGCTATTCTGCAACAGTTTGATCATAAATTTATCATTGAGATGTAGTATTAGAAATTTGGATTTTTTTTTTTCTGTGAAAATGCCCACAGGATTGGATATAATCTTTGTGATACTGTCAATAGCAGAGTTCACAATTGGAATTTTGGGAAATGTGTTCATTGGACTGGTAAACTGCTCTGAATGGGTCAAGAACCAAAAGATCTCTTTAGCAAACTTCATCCTTACCTGCTTGGCCATCTTCAGAATCAGTCAATTGTTGGTATTATTGTTTAAATCCCTTATACTGGGGCTATCTCTACATTTACATTTAACTTATACAATAGCAAAGCTTATGAGTTTGCTTTGGAGAATAACTGATCACTTGACCACTTGGCTTGCTACCTGCCTAAGCATTTTCTACCTCCTTAAGATAGCTTACTTCTCCCACCCCCTTTTCCTATGGCTGAAGTTGAGACTGAATAGAGTGATTCCTGTGACTTTTTTATTTTCTTTGTTTTTCCTGATTGTTGACTTTCTATTGTTAGAAATATTTAATGATTTTTTCTTAAACGTCTATATACTAGATAAAAGCAATCTTACTTTATTTATAGTTGAAAGTAAAACTCACTATGTTGAAACCCTGATTCTTCTTAGCTTGACCTGTTTCTTTCCCATTGTTTTGTCCCTGACTTCATTGCTCCTTTTATTTCTGTCCTTGGTAAGACACATCAGAAATTTGCAGCTCAATTCCATGAGCTCAAGGGACTCTAGCACAGAGGCCCATAAAAAGGCCATAAGAATGGTGATGTCTTTCTTTTTCCTCTTCATAGTTCATTTTTTTTCCATACAAGTAGCAAGTTGGCTATTTCTTATGACGTGGATCAACAAATTTGCAAAGTTTGCTGTGTTAGCAGTATATATCTTTCCCTCAGGACATCCATTTATTTTGATTGTGGGAAATAGCCAGCTAAGACAGACAATCTTGAAGGTACTGTGGCATCTTAAAAGTTTCTCAAAAAGAGAAAATCTGTTACAGATTTACAGATAGACTTTCCAGAGTGTTTTCAAAGATAATAATTTACGAGGAAATTTCGAGACTAGATTTTCACTCCTACAGTTTTTTTTTTCCCTTACTGAGTTTCTTCAAGTATTGTTGCGCATAATTAAATTTTTCCCTAGAACAGATTGCTTTTGGTGGTAATTCACACATGGTCAGCCAATATAATTTTAAAAGTAGTTATTTTTGTTTGTAATATTCTTTGAAAGAATATTGGTTACCAATATTCTTTCAAAGATAACCTAAATTATTTAATTTTATATGCAAAAGATGTATATAATTGCAACCTATGTAGGGGGAGAGGCATGTAGTTCTTTAGAAATCAAGATGAATTAGATATCTGACTAGGTAGAAAATCTATAAAATGTTGATGGAAAGTTAACTGAGCAACTATAGTCATAGATGGGAAAAATATGCTCTCATCACATTGCATTGTTGTCCTTAGAGGTCTTGTTAATAAAAAGGGGTGAGATGTTTGAGAATAAGAATAATATTTGTAGTGTCAAATATAATAAATTATCTTTAGAAGTTGGAAACATGCTTATAATGTTAATTTTAATTTGAAATCCCAATCATAAACATTTTGATGTATCTAGGCATTGATTAATTTTCTTAAATTCCAGGATAGGCAATGTGCATTTTCAGAGTGGCAGAAATAGATATTTCTATCATATTATGTAACAGAATTAAAAAATATATAGAATTATTTCTTAATTCAAAATCACACTCATATTTTAACTATAAAAAGATCGTAATTATACTGAGAGCAAAACTTAGAACAACATATGTGTAGTGTAAATTTTGGATGTGCATAAGTATATGTAGTGCTGTTTTTACTATAATAATCTAAATTTAGATAATATAGCTAGCCATTGTAAATAAGGTTAAGTAAGGGTGGGCAAGTTTACTATAAACTCTTAAATATGGCCGTTCGAATTATAATATTGTTTATATGCAGTTTAGTCAAATTTTTGTCACTTTCAGTTTTTAATAGTTTATGTAATAATGCTTTTTCACTACTCTGTGAGCTCCTTCATGTTACTTCTCATTATTACACTTATTTTGCCTATAATAGTGTCTAAAATATTATAGATTTTATTAAATGGAATTAATGAATAATGCCAGTATCCTAGAGATTAAAATTAAGAAACTCGAATCCAAATAGTATTGAGCTTCAACTGAAAAGGAAAGTACAAATTGGTGTAAAGAAATCTGTCTCATATTTGCATGTTTGCATACCTGAATATATTCTTCCAGATGTCTTCACAAGGGTAAAATTGCTGCCAGTGCCAATGATGAATGGGCACAGTTACTGTTTAATTTGGAAATCAGTAGCTGATTGAAAGTAATGTTACTGTTCCTCATTAAGATCTGTGAGACGGAATCACCTTGTACATACTTCAGACCCAAGGCTGAAACAAAAGAGGAAAGTCTTTCATGAAGATAAGTGAGATGGGATCTGAGTTTTTTTGAGCATTTTTAATATAGAAGTGAAGAATATCAAACTGGATATTACCCTACAACATGTTGACAGCAAGAAATCAGTGAATCATAGTATTAGCTTTCTGGACTCTTTCTATAGAAATGTCATCTGGAATAGAAAATATTTTTCTGATAGCGGCAAAAGGAGAATTCATAGCTGGCATGTTGGGGAATGGCTTCATTGCACTAGTTAACTGCACTGACTGGGTGAAAAGTCAAAAATTCTCCGTAGACAATGGCATCTTCACCAGCTTGGCTATTTCCAGAATAACTCTTCTTTTGATAGTACTGGTTGATTTACTTCTAACGGCGTTATGGCTACATCTATATGCCATTGGTGAACGAGCAAAATTTATTAGTATTTCTTGGGTACTGTCCAATCACCTAGCTACCTGGTTTGCCACCTGACTGTTTTCTACCTCTTGAAAATAGCCAGTGTCGCTCACCCCTGTTTTGCCTGGCCGACGTGGAGAATTAGCAGAATGCTACTTGTGCTTCCACTGGGGTTTTTGTTCCTACTGTTTTTCAACATCGCATTAACAGACACATTAAATGATTTCTGGGTTAACGCCTATAAAATATATGAAAGAAACTCAATGTGGTCTTTAGATGTGAGTAAAATCCTGTATTTTAACACCTTGATTGTTTACGATTTTATCTACTTAGTTCCCTTTCTTCTGTCCCTGACTTCACTGCTCCTTTTATTTCTCTCCTTGAAGAGACACATCAGGAACGCGCGGCTGAACTCCAGCTCTGGTGACTTTAGCACAGAGGACCATAAGAGGGCCATGAAAATGGTGATGTCTTTCCTCCTTCTCTTCAAACTTCATGTTTCTTCCACTATATTTCCTTATGCTGCAGAGAGATCAGGCCAACGCGTTCGCCAAGTTCACATTGAATATTTTTCCTTCAGGTCACTCATTTATCCTAATTTTGGGAAACAGCAAGCTGAGACAAACTGGCTTAGGACTACTGTGGTATCTTAATTGCCACCTGAAAAGGGTGAAACCTTTAGCTTCATAGACTTTTCCAGAATTTTTATATTCCAAGAGAAATAAATCAATGAGAAGACATCGAAGAGCCATTTTAACTTCTGTTTTTCTCACTGGATTCTTTTAAACACTATTGAGCATCACAAACTTTACTTAGAATGGCTTATAAACTAATAATACATGCAAAAATTTTAAAAAAGCAAGCATCATTGACATAACATTTGCTAGTAGCAAGAAAATACTAGAGACAATATGAATATAAAATATATAATGCAATGTGTATTAATTCTATGTATCTTGGCAAATATTTACTACATTTATATGTGAGGAAAAAACATGATTATTTAGAAATAAAAATCCCTTCCAAGCTGGAGTAGGTGAAATATTTGTACGATATTAAGTTAAAAATACATTAAGGAATAAAAATGCTAAAAACACATAATCTCATAAAAACAGACATAACTTTTAAAACAAAGGAGCAGACTACCATTAGAAATCCACACTAGAATAGCCACTACCTTTATGGAATGAGAAAAATCAACAGAATTTATAAAAAAAAATTGAGTAATTATCCCTATGTATATAATAATATGTGTCTATAAGAATCAAAATCAAACCTAGGCACCAAATTTGCGTATGAGGTGTGTGTGCATGTAAGGATTATATAAACATTAATGTCCTTTGTCAGAGAAGACAAACATGACTAACTCACCAGGGATAAAAATAGAAAGGAAAGTTTGGAATATCACATGTTTATATAAGTTTTAGAAATGTTTGTGTGTATATATAGTGCTCATTTCACTTTCATAATAAAATAATTGAAATGAAATCAAAGTAACTGAAGATGTATGTGATCTTAAGGCCAGTAGGTAGTAAAATTGTGCTTGCTAATGACATTACAATAATAGTTTACAATATGGTAGTTTTAGAGATTGTAATTTTAAACATATTAAAAAACTATCAATAATGAAGAAGCCTTTGCTAGGGTTTATAATTGCCATAATTTTTCAGTGGTAGAAGCAAACAAAAACAAACTAGAAAATAAATTGTGGTTATTTGTGGGTTATAAGTTAATTTTGATGGAGCAGGAGGCCAAATCTGATGCTGGAAAGAATATAAAAACCACAAGGGCTTTTGTAGTGACAAAGTGTACTGTCACTATAGAGAACTGTGCTATGGGGTGCTCTGACATATCCATGATGATGATGATGACGGTATGTGTATATCCAGACCTATGTAAAGATTTAGATTTTTAAACTTCATTCATTATGTTGGACACCATATAAGAAATTTCCTGGGTGGAGGCAGAAGAATTGGATGAAAGTGATCAAAATGTATAAACTTGCAGTCATAAGATAAATAAGTACTGGAGATGTACTGTACAACATGATTAGTAAAAATAACACTGCTGTATATTTTAAAGTTGTGAGGAAAGTAGATCCTAAAAGTTCTTATCACAAGGAAAAAGATATTTATTTTTTGTATCTCTATGAAGTGATGGGTGTTTACTATACTGTAGTGATCATTTCACAATACATGTAAGTTGTCATTGTGCTGTACACCATAAACTTATGCAGTGCTGTATGTCTACTATATCTTATAAAACTAAAAGAAAAAAATAAAACAAAATTTCCTAATGATTGTACCTGAGATTATCTTGCTTTAGGAAAGGTGAAATTCTAATCATATTGGCTATACTTAGGTTCAAATATTGAGGATACTTTAGCTTAGAATCTATCCCTTTCAGAAAAAAAGATTAAAGATTACTTTATACTTACCAGAAGAAAGGATATTGTTTTAGCTTTTAGATTTACATTTTAGTGTTACTAAACTTTTTTTTAATGACCAAGATAAAAAAAAAATTAAACAACTATGTATGCACAGCCCTTGTTTCTTATGAGCGGGATCTAGCAGTAAATGTCTCATTAGGAGTAAGTCCTCATTTGTCATGTACTCATTTTTGTCATGTACTCATTTTGGGGAGATGAAGCTCTAAGAAGCAGAGACCTATTCATGATAATAGAAGCACAGAAAATGACCATTAAAAGGTGAAGCCTGAATTCTATGTTGGGCAGTGGTTACTGATGTATTCCATTCTCCTTATTAAATGGCATTTTGGGATTATGCTCTGTGCCTCATCTTCCATAACAAGACCCTGTGTTAGAGACCCTAGCCATGATCCAAGAAAAGCTACTACTATCACATCCATAGATAGTACCATGCAATTTGGAGAGAATGGTCTTATTCTGAGACCAAATTACTGGAAAAACAAAATGATTGTCATTGCTTTTTTGCCAACTACTTCCCTCCAAATTAACTTTTCATAGTTTTGCTGTAATGAGTTTTATTTTTTTCAGTTTGCTCATCTGAGACCAGGAGAGTTTCAAATAACCTATTTCTAATGCCGAAAGAGGCTTATTATGCCTTAGCCCTGCCTTACCCCTAGAACTTAAGCTGAGAAGATATTTCAGTGTTCTAGCTATGTTGTCTTGAACTTTACTGAAAGAAAAGTTCTCAGTGGATATATGCATGGACCAATATGGATTTCAAAGAATGTGACAATATTGAATCTTTGATACTTCAGGCATTTTGTCTGCTGCTAGTGATTAAATCTCATGTCCTCTGAGCCAAGAGCTTCCTTTATTGAAGTACAGAAACCAGGGGAACATCTGCAAAACCCATACTTCTACTGTCTGTTCACCTGTGAAATTGGTTAATGCTGTCTATAGAAGTCTATGCCTTGTGCTGGATTGCCCAGAATAAACCTTCATTTAAAAAATTTATCAGATGGTTGATTTGACAAATTGAGAAAAAAGTTAGACAATATTTTTTTTGGAGGGGGTATTATGTGTTGAAAACAAATCAGAGGTAACAGGCTATTTTCAATTTTAGCAATTTGGGAGACAAGAATGTAGAGCTTTAGAAGACAAAGGCACTATCTTAAGTTGTATATTGGTACTTCAATTCCTTAGCCCATGTTTAAATGAGTAAGTTTTAAAAATAACTTCTTTTCCCTTTCGTAGATCTAACCTGACTTCTGAATTATAAGGTTTCTATTAATTATATACCTTTTTTCAGTTTGAGATGCTTTCAAAGTTTTATTTTTATCAATTAAAAAGCTAAAATAGTGCCTTAAAAAACATCTTTACTTATGCATTAAACATCTTTTTTGTTTCTTTATCTGTTGGACACAAGCTCTATTGCTGTGTCCACGATTTCAGAGTCAAGACATTCCAGGTACAGTATTTCATTAGAGATTTTTGCCTTTTGGTTACACGATGATTTATTTTCCTCATTTTGGTTCATATGAAAAGGTATACACAATCCACCTCATTCAGTATATAAATGACTTCCATTTGTCTTTATTGTTCATTGAGGCACTCCACTACCTTACTGTGAATAAATCAACATGCTTGGTGCTTGAAAGCCATAAGCATGGTCAAGAATTTCTAATGTTTGCTGACGATCCCGAGTTAGGACAGAAACTGGAAAGGGTTCCCTCAGATGTACTGCAATTAAACTACAAAGAATTCCATAGTTTCTTTTTTCATGTTATAGGCACTCAGGAATGTCCTTTGGCCTTTTAATTGTCTCAAGAGCATTGATGAGATTTATATTCATGGGGATCAGAGGTGAGGCGTTGCCTTCAGCTGTAAAAAGATTCATGACATGGCCTGGTGGTAATCCCAGTTTGCAATAGGCTATCAAGTGTTGTTAAAATTACAAGAAAGTTCCGACACTCATGGTAACATGTGACCCAATCTAATACAATTGTTGGGAATTCTGATAGTTATTGCAGGGGTTCTTTTCTTGATCCATTTGCCTGGAAACTTTTAAGTCTACTGCAGACTACTTTCCAGGTTCAAAGTTTCTGGCGTTAGAATTTTTCTCTCCCTTCCCTTTTGTCCCTATATTGCTAGAAGTTCCATTCCCAGCCCTTTATGTCTCCACGCGTAAGTCCCATCAAATGTATCTTTTTTTCCTGACTCTGTCAAATGCTATTGATGCTCCACCAGGAAAAGCCTTCATTAAACTAGGACTGCAAGATTTTGTGACATTAAATTTAGTTAGGCCTCCTTGGGACAGTGATGGACATTGCTTCAAAATTCATGATTACCTTATCTGTACTCCTTTCCATCCTTGGGGAAATGTCCTTTCCTTTTCTCCTCTTATGCCCTTCCTTCCACTTCCCCACCACCAAGCCAAATGACTAGGCAGCAGTTAAGTATAAAACAGTTGAATTTACTTATCAAATCATACTGAATATTTATAGTCTAATACATAAAGCCCTCGATAAAATATTTTTTTAAAATGAGACAAAGAAGGACCCACTATTTCTACTTTTGGGTATTTACCTGAAGAAACTCAGAACACTACTTTAAAGGGACATGTGAATCCCTAGGTTCATTGTAGCATTATTTACAGTAGCCAAAACATGGAGGCATCCTGGGTGCCCATCAATGGATGAATGGATAAAGAAGAGGTGGTATATTTATACAATGGAATATTACTCAGCCATAAAAAATCATGAAATCTTGACATCTGCAGCAACATGGATGGACCTAGAGAGTACTGTGCTGAATGGAGTAAGTCAGACAAAGACAAATATCATATGTGGAATCTAGAGAACAGAATAAACAAACAACAGAAAAAAGCTCATAGATACAGAGAACATTTTGATAGTTGCCAGGTTGGAGGGTGGGGATGGGTGAAGGGGAGAGGGCACTAAGAGGTACAAATTGGGAGTTACAAAATACCATGGGGATGTAGAGTATAGCATGGGGAATATAATCAGTAGTATAGTAATAACTATGCATGGTATCAGATGGGTACTGGATTTGTTGGAGTGATCACCAATTACTTCATAAGTTATATAAATGTCTAATCACTGTTGTACACCTGAAACTAATGTAATATTGTATTATAATTGAAAAAATAAAAATTAAAAAAGATATTGCCAATTATTACCCAGGTAATACTTCTGTTTAAGAATTTGAGAAAAGAAACGGGATTATTTAGAATTACATAAACATTTAAAAAAATTCAATTTCCCATCAAATGTATCTTTAGGGACAAATTCGACATTCAATTGTAGTTTGGCCAGTTACTATGACCTTGGGAAAGTTATTTAACCTCTTTAAATCTGTTTCCTTCTCTGAAAAGTGATGAAAATGTCTTCCTCATAGTGTACACATAAGATTTATGGAGATTATGCATGTAAATAATTTTCATAGTTCCTGGTATTAAAAACACAATAAAATTAAAAAATGATGCTGATAGTGATGGTATGCTCTTTTAGTCAAGTAATCACACTTGCTCTTACCCTCAATTAAAAAATTTCTTGTTCCCCAAACTTTAAGTTAAATGTTGCTATGATCACCATTTCTCTTTTACAGTTAAACTATAATACATTCACCTTCCCAACATTTTTATCAGTTACAGATCATACTCAATGTTTTTTCTTCATTGATCAGCATTATGCCCTTTTTGCTTCACACTTGAAGGAATCTCTGGACCAATCAATATTCATGAAATAGCTTAATTTATGGGCAATAAAGTGGATCACCTTAATAACAGGGGCAAATATATCTTTATTTTATTGATTAATGACTATTTGTAGAAAAAACAACTACTTTGGCATTCATTCAATACTTATCTGCTTTGCATTAGGCACTGCTCTAGACTGGGAACAGAGCAACAAGTGAACAAAATTTTTGGCTTCGTGGATGTTACCTGAAAGGATGCCATGATGAATAAAATTACTTGTAAATTAGAATAAGTGGTTAGTCAGGGCAAAAATATTGTTTTCTCTCCTGGGAAACTTCATCAAGTTGTATCATGTGAGATAAAAAAATACACATCTAGGTTTACAAGCAATTGTGAAAAATATTAAAAATGTTAAATCATGGAGCTTTCATGCAGTTCCTACTATGTATTTGCTGATACTACACGATACTACATTTGCTGATATTCAATGGAATACAGTATCTTCCCTCACAGAGCTTCCAGTCTAGTTGCAGGAAATGATAAATAAGTCTGCTAAAGTGCCTTAGTTTCTTCAATGTAACAAAAGACTGACGTGGAGAAAAGGTTGAAGGCACATGTTCATACAGCCACAAATTTGAAGCATCCCTGTTTATCACCATTCACATTCTTTTATCCTACAAATTGGGACATTAGTGCCTCTAGAGAATAGTGATGCCCGCCATTTGTAAGTCTCTTGGCATGACTGAATTATCTCATGGATCAAATTACATTTCTGATAGACTACAATGTTTTAGTTTCTGCCTCTATCACAGCAATATATAATTATTAAGGGAAGATATTATAGGAACCTGTCTTCTCGAATATAAAAAAAAAAAAACCCTGATAATTAATGCATAATTAGGCAAAAATAAGACAGCCTATGAAAGTGGCATAGGTTGATCTTAACCCTTAGATGGGATAAAAGAAATGAACTTTAATCTGGTCAGTGGAATCTGGGAAAAACTTAATGGAAAAAGTGACATCTAAGCATAGCCTTAAAATACAGGCAGAGTAACCATGGGGGTGGGGAGGAAGTGGGGTAGGAAAGGCAGAAGAAAGTTTAAGTAGAGAGAGGTAGAGGAGGATGCGCTCAACAGTTTGGCTGGAGACCGAGGAATAAAAGGCAGGAAGAACAATTACTCACAAGCCAGATTTGGTGCTGGAGGGGGCACTTATTTTACAATCCTAGAATATACTTGTTTGTTGGATACAATTAGTGGAAATATAGAACACTGCAAATAGTTTAAATTTTTACCTTGACAAATAATGACCCGTTTTGGCTCAAATGTCTTACCTAAAATCTTCTTGGGAGTCTCTTCCCCTCACCCCTAGGGTCAGTACCCTATGTATCTTCTTTAGGCCTGAAACATTCCACTGGAAAAGCAGGAAGCCCATGAGTGAGTTTTAAGTTTTATTTACATGTTAATGAGATATTGTTATAACAAATACTGTATATTATGCATATATCAAGCACTAAAGCAGGCTAGTTTTTTAATTCTCAGATTGACCAATTAAGGTGGGTATTTTACTCTCATTTAATAGTTGAGGAAACAAACGTTTTGGCAGATTAATGGACTCACGTAAGACCACAAAATTACAGTTTGTATTTTAAGAGAGATCTGCCTGATTTAAGAAGTCAATTCTTTTACTCTGGTGGCTCTTAACCAGAGGTGTACATTTCAACTACATGAGCAATTTTAAAAATAAAATTTATTTCATTTTTAATCAAAGAAATAAATCAAAGATCTGCCTGATTTAAGAAGTCAATTCTTTTACTCTGGTGGCTCTTAACCAGTGGTGTACATTTCAACTACCTGAGCAATTTTAAAAATAAAATTTATTTCATTTTTAATCAAATGAATAAATATATATATAGTTAAGAAAAATCAAAACAATATTGTTATATTGGTAGTGGAAAACAGCAATCTTCTATCTTTTCTCTACCCATCCCCGATTTTTTCTCAGATAACCACTTCAAACTTTTAGCTTTCTTATTGTAGTTTTTCTGAATTACATGTTCAATACTGTTTTGACTCTTCTATACTAGATCTTGACTGATTCACCATTACATACATCTCTCTCCTCTCAAGCCCCCCAATGTTACATAATCATTTCTTGTTAAATCCATAGTTAGTGTTTACATAATTATGACTGACTTTATATGACTAGTATTATTCACAGTTGAGGTATTCAGTATAGTTTTTGAAATTTTTATTTTTCCTAGGGTTAATTTCAACTTCCTTTGGTTAATTTTTTAAAAATCTACAGACTAATAATTCATTTTCAGACTCTGGAAAACTAAAAAATTTTGACTATATCTGAACACACCAGGTAGTCTGTTTTTCTAAGATATTTCACCACACTCTGCATATTTAGGCATTTCTTGTTGACTTCCTGTTCTCTACTTTCTTCCCTCTTTAATATAGTTATAGTTATTTTAGCAACTTACAGCTACTCTTTAAATGTCTTTGTGCTTCAACATGAAACTATCTTTCAACTTTGTAAGGACACCCGCTATCATTCCATTTATCTTCCCCACCTGAAATCTGTATTTCAACATATAAAGAGTGATAATATTTGCATTCTACTTTGTAACCATAATTGTGTTCTCTTAAAAGAAAGAGACCATAAACAACATTTACATTAATTATTATTTAAATGTTATTCATTAAAAAGCCAAGCTTTCTGCTATAATTGGATTTCTCTTTAGCTTCAAGGTCTTGAACCACACGCTACTCACAAGGAACACTAAAATAGAGCCCATTTTCTCACACTCTAACTCTGTTCAAAATCCTGCAGCATTTTACGTTGTTTTGTATTAGGATGCTTTTCCTGTAGCTTTTTTCCCCCAATGAAAATTTCCAATTGTCATTGTTTTCTCTGGTGGAATGTACCTTCCACATCACATCCTCAAGATCTTCAGTTTCTTATTCAACGTCTTGTTTACAATCCAATTCAATATTCTCGAAATTTATGAACTTATTTTAATTTGGACCACGGGCTTGTTTCACATATTTTTTTTCCTGAAAATTTAGGAGCTTTCCTTTTCTATAATGCATCCTATCAGTCCTGTTTTTGTTGTAAGGACTCAGCTTCTTAAATATTGTCGTGAGCCTTAATTAAATTCTTCGCTGTTCCCGGCAAACTGCGCATTTTCTCTCATCAGTCACCGTGGGCTTCCCGCGACCGTCCCAGGAGAGCGGCTAAGAGCGGACAGCGCAGCCACGCAGGGAGCTCGCGCACTCTCGCGAGACTGCGGAGGTTCTCGTTCGCAGCTCCGCTTGGCCGCCGGGCTGCTTGGAAGCCCACCATTGTGCTGGCCCGGGAAGCCGTCAGCGTGATCACGGCTCTAAATGTGTACCTGCAAGCGGATGTTGAGGATCACGGAGCCCGCGACGTAGAAGTACGGAAAATTCATGCGCAGCTGCCAGGCCAGCTCAAAGAAGGCGAGCAGGGTGCGGGAGAGCCCCTTGCAGAATACCCCGTAGGAGCTGGGGGCCGCAGCCGGGCTCGAAACCCCGAGGGTCCAGGAAGAGGGAGCCGCCGCGATGGCCATGGACTCGGCGTTGCCGCTCGCCCAGTGCTTGGTGTCGAGAGTCGCCGCAGGCCCCGCAGATCCCGCAGACCCCCACCGACGGCCGGGATGGGGAGGGGCGGGAGCACTAAGCGACCTCAGTGCTCACGCCCGCGCCTCTGCTGCAGCCCCTTCCTCCCTAGCGGCGCTCAGGCACTGGCAGCCGCTGGCGCTCCGCCCCTTCCTGTCTGCTGCTCTTAAAGATAGCATTTAGAGTTTAAACACGTGGTAGATGCAGAACGGGTTATTTATATATGTCATGCACGTTATTTCATATAACATACACGGACAGTTATACAGATATTGTAATTTTCATTTTAAAATGAAGAAAAGCTTAAGGGAAAATACAGAAAAGAAGTATGTTAAGAGTGAGTAGTATAAAAAAATCTATTCCTGTTCTCTGATTGGACTTTCTCATAGTCTAAAATCTGTATCCGAAATAGAATCTTTTCTGGATGTCTAGAAATAAATATAAGCATTTATAATTATATAATTTGCAATGTATAATTTCACAATTTTATAATAAATCGGATGCATTTTTTTAATGTGCTGAATGCCACCTGAAGATGTAGACAAACTATTGGACAATTCTTCAAGAATTGTCCATAAGTACTGCTTATCACTTACTGTTGTTTACCGAACTTTGCTTTTAAGTGAGAAAAACTTAAAAAGTAGGGTAATTCTGGGGGTGGGAGAACTGACTGAGGACCAAAAGGCAAAATTTCCTAGCTGCAAGATATTTTTGTTTGTCTTTTTTTATTTTTAGAACCCAACAATATTTATTTCCTTCCTTCCTTCCCTCCTTCCTTCCTTCCTTCCTTCCTTCCTTCCTTCCTTCCTTCCTTCCTTTTCCTTCCTTCCTTCTTCCTTCCTTAATTAGTGGCCAGAAGTGAACGCGTTTTGTTTGCTCTCTACCGGGGGCAACGTTCCTAAGCCTTTAAGATTTCGAAGAATCTCTGGGCGTTGGGAGAGTCAGAAGGAGGTGAGCTTTCCTTCCTCCCTTCCTCCCTTCCTCCCTTCCTCCCTTCCTCCCTCCCTCCCTCCTTCTTTCTTTCCTTCCTTTCTTCCTACCTTCCTTCCTTCCACCAGAGGTGAACTTCCCATAGTAAGATCTGAAACCTATAAGGTGTAAGTTGTGTTCTAATGCTCTATTCTGTTTTTATATTTCATGTTTCCCCTGAAGAGCATTAATGACGTATTTTTGTTAACGTTAGCATTGAAATTATAAGGAAACATTCCCTTACTTTGACCTAGAGAGTGTTTTTAAAGGTATGTGGATGGATATAGTAATATTACAGAGAAAAATAAAAAATGGAAGATGTAATCTAAAGATTCAAATCAAGGCCATTCTATCAGAAAATATTTTAAAGATAGTATTTAAAGATAGTATTCTTTCATAAGTTTAACTCATCCTCTCAGAAAACTTTTTTGCCATAGTCTGTGTCTAGTGAATTACCCTGGGTATATGACAAAACCAAAATAGAGTATTATTATGTATTTATGTAATTAAGCTTTTGATATCGTTTATACTTTGTCAATACACACATCCTTTCATGCAGTATTGAATATTTTTATGGCATCTTGACCAAATAAAATAATCAGAAACATCAGATTTTTAAAAATGGAACCAAATAAGGTATAGTTTGATTAGTTATAGAAACTGGCATTTTTTTTTATTTTTAGGTCTTCATATAGCAAATAGTAGTTAATTTTTTTCCCCCTCAGGAACAGGCAGCATTAGAAGAAACAGACAACATCCTTACTCCTCCTTAGATAATAATAATTACGATTTTAATCATAGTTAACTGGTGACATACTTTGAGCTTATACTATATGTAAGGCATTTAAGGATAAGCATTATTCTAATTAAGTCTCAAAACAATTCTTTCCTCAAAGTAGTTATTATTTGTCTCTGTTTAATAGATATAAAATTTAGAGGTGTAGATGGCTAAACTAACTTAAAGGCTAGCACAGTTGTACCTGAGGGGGGAAAAAGCTAAACGGATAAAGTTAAGGAATATATTTTTACTAAGAGATGAAACACGAGAGTTCAAAACAAAGTAAACAAAACTAAAGAGAAAACCATGGCCAAACAGGAATTTTTTTTTGAAATGCGAGATCCACAATTTATTTTTAAGAATAGGTTTATATTTTTAAAATAGGACATGTATACATATGACTAAACAGCATTGCTGATACAGACCAAGTCTATATTGATAAGCTTCTGTGATCTGTTTAACATGCTGAGAGTAGAACTGGTGCAGGCAGACAGAGTAAGAATAAATAATAGTGCTTTGAGGGGAGCAGTAGTGATTAATAGGGTTGGTAACAAAGGAGTCTTATCATCAACACTATAGCAGCAACTCCCCGGTACTGATATGTGCAAAGTTCCAGAGCTCCGTGACAGAAATGGCCCAACCCATCCGAAGAGGTTCCCAACTCGCTGGCAACAGCAGATTGTAGATGAACTCAGGCATAGTGGGCACAGGGATGGGGGGACTGGACCCACAGAAAAACTTGGAAGAAATGAGTTCAGGCAAGCATATGTATTTATATATACACACCCTCACAAAGGGCATTGGTCTAACCATGGTTGTAAATACGTATTCTGCCCAAATTCACATGTCCAATCCCTAATTCCCAATACCTTAGAATATGACTATCTGGAGATGGAGCTTTTGAAGAGGTATTTAAGTTAAAATGCTGTTATGGTGGACCCTAATCTTCTATGACAGGTATCCTTATAAGAAGAGATTAGGACACAGACAACCCAAAGAGGATAAACTAAGTGAAGACACAGTGAGAATGTGGCCATCCTGTAAGCCAAGGAGAGAGGCCTCTGAAAAAAGCAAGCTTGCCAACACTTTCTTCTTGGACTTCCCGCCTTGAGAATTATGAGAAAATAAATTTCTGTTATTTTAAGTCACCAAGTCTGTATTTTGTTATGGCAGTGCTAGCGGGCTAATAGAATGCCCTGTCTTAATCTAAGGGAAGGTAGCTGCCATATTGTGAGCTGCCCCATGGAGAGGACTGCATGGCAAGAAACTCATTCTTTGGCCAACAGCCAGTGAATATCTGAAGGGCCAACAGCATTGGCCCCCAGTTGATCCTTGAGATGACCGCAACCCTAGTTGATTCTTTGATTTCAGCCCATGAGAGAACTTGAGCCAAAGATCTAGCTAAGCTGTGCCCAGATTCCTGACCCATAGGAATAGTGAGATAATAGATACATGTTGTTTTAGGCTGTCAAGCTTTGGGGGGTAATTTATTATGCAACAATACATAATAAAATGGAGACAGATGTCACAGTGTGTGCTTATTGGTCAGGTTTGAAGCAGAGAAGCAGAACCACTAGGATTTATTACTGGAATTACCATACACGATTGTGGGGGCTGGCTAAACAGTCGCTGCAGGACTGTCTAATGTTCAAACCCAAAGTCAATATGGCAATTAGGAAGGGAAGACTGGGTGCACTGGAAGCTCACAAGCATGAGCTCGATCCTGACAAGGATGGACTGAATCATGTCTGTTCTTGTTGCTGCTGACCTAGGTGACGAGCGTATCCTGCAGAAGCCTGGGCCATTTGTCACGAAGCTGAACATACACAGCTGGCCCAAGAGTTACAGAAATTGAAGCTGATCCAGAGAGAAGAGAGAGTAATTGCAGGCAGAGCTACTGCTTTATGTCAATGAGGTGGATCAGCAGATCAGCAACAAAGTGAGTGCTGACATCCCAAGTGTAGCGATGTTTTACATGTTTCCTTTCCTTCTGCTACTTGGCTTCCTTTAATCTCAGGGAAGGCACAGTCCCTCTTTAAAGGCACAGTCCCTGCTTCTACCTGACTAAATCTGGCTCTGCCTGAATAAACTCCCTTCTGATTAAATCTACTGAGTTGAGACCTTAATTATATCTGAGAAATCCTTTCCAGCAGTACTTCAACCAGTGTTTGAATGGGTAACTGGGAAAAGATGTGAGTATGCTACAAAATGGCTGTTGCTCCCCTTCTGTTCTCCTGAGAGAATAGCCTTTGTAGGACACCTTAAGCGAGAACATACAGTAAGGGGAATTCTAGAGAACATAGTTCATCCTAGCTTACTTGGCACATCAAAAAGCATTTCAGTGGCTTTTATAATTTCAAGGGAGGCTGGGAAAATATTTCAATGTGTTTTTCTAAAGTGAGAGGTCTAATAAAGAATGGTTCCAGGAGTAGGATTCAGTTCCTGGGTGACTGAAATAATAATAATTGTGCAATATAGTTTGTTTTTTCACTCCAACATTCACTCTTTACTCCACATTTAAAATTTATAAAAATCCCTGCTTTCAGCCAACAAAAGAAACTACCCCTCAGCATATTAGGTGTCAATTTTGCATTGCAAGTCACCTCTAGACTTAGTAGCTTAAAACAGCAATAATCACTGTCATCACTCATGATTCTTAAGAGTCAGGAATTCAGGAATGACTCAGTTTGGTGGTTCTGGCTCTGAATCTCATGAGGTTGCAATCAATAGTGGTTGGGGCATCTTGAAGGCTTTTTCCGGTGCCTGCACAAGGAAGGCTCAAATTGCTAGGGACTGGAAGACTTAGTCATCTCAATTCTACTTATATTTGGTTTCTCTACATGGTTACTCCAGCGTTGTGACTCAAGACTCCAAAGGCAGATGAAGAAGGATCAACTTTTCAACCAGTCTGGGAAATTACCCAGAGTCACTACTATGACATACTATTTACTAAAATGAATCACTACAGCCCATATTTAAGGTTAGGGAAATTAGACTCCACCTATTTATGTAAGCCGAGTCAAAGCATTTGGTCAAATTTCCAACCACCAAAGTTGTAGATCCAAAAATATGTTCACTTTTCCAATTTCATCCTGATCCAAATCCATGATCTCTGGACAATATCCCCAATTCTTCCATTATTTTCATTATGATTCCATAATTTACAATCTACAGACTGAACTGTACAACGAATGATCACCAATCTATTCTACATGAAATAAAGGGAAAAAGAAAAAGGAGAACATGGAAAGTAGTAAAAATGTATACCTAAATATTTTACTTAGAGTAATGACCAAATAGCTCCAATAGGACCAACAATTCCACAGATATTACCTATAAACTAGATAAAATACAAAACTCCCAACTATTTGGATACACCGGAGAATAACCCAAGCAGGCAGACATCGGAAAAAAGTCAACACTTGGAAGGAAGGAAACAGCAGGGGATGCGTTTCCTGTTTTCATGGTTGGTCCCAGTTTGCACCATGCCAGATGGCTAAAACTTCAGTAGAAAACCCATAGACTTACTGGATTGAAGAAACAGAGGACAGAGTTCAGGGTAACAAAAGCAGCAGGAGGTCACAGGTAAATCTGAGAAAGGAAAAGGTCTGAGAAGGGTAACCCCAACTTCTGAGTATGAACTGGTCCAAATCTTTCACTGAACCGCATGCCATGCCTGTGTGGGGCAGATTCCAAGCAAGTCAGCTAAAATAACTGGACTGAGATTTCAGCTCTCATCAATCACAGTGAAGACAGAGATAGAAGACTTATTACTATAGGACAAAATTATTCCTTTTTTTCCTGAAAGCCGAAAGCAGATTTTATTACCTTACCTAAAAGTCACAATCCTTGTCCGCTCTTGTTCCCAGTATGGCGCCAACTGTTTTTATTAATTACAGTTTTTAATCAAAGTAACTAACTTCTCTTTCACAGAGAAAATGGAAAGTTAAGTAATTGAGGACTATTAAACATTACTATTGTAACAGACCCCCAAAATTCTCAAGCCCATATATTACAACTTTCTACAGTCATACACATTCCTTTTCAACTTACTTAAATTAAAACAAAAAACGCTTATGTATGTTAAGATGATCCAAAGAAACAGCTGCTCTATAAAATAGAAATATAAAAATAAAAGTTATATGTATATAAAAATTATATTTGGTGACCACATTTTATTATTCTATCTTACCTAGAAATGATCCAATGATTTTCCACTGTCACTCAATTTAGCATTAGTTTAGGGACTTAAATTTAATTAAGAATCTTAGAAATTAAATTTAAGCTGATTTACCACAGAAAACAATTACTGTTTTTTTAACTTTTATTAATTTTTTGTGAGATATTGATTAATAAAATTATATAGATTTCAAGTGTACAATTTGGTAATGTGTCATATGCATATTGCATTGTGTGTTTACCATCCAAAATGAATTGCTTTGCAGAATATTTCATAATTTGTATTCAATTTATTTGAACACAAATTTTTACTTTTTTGATATTTTAACTTTATGTGGACATAATGTTAGCTTGCCTTATCAGTAAACCAGCATAAGAATTTTAGTAATTTTGAATAACACCCCCAAATTTTATAAAAATGGAACATTCCACAGAGATAAAGTCAGGGAAAAACATATGCTTGTCTTCAAATTAAAAGTATTAAGCCAGTCTGATTTGTCGAAGCAATCATTTTGATTCTATATGCCTGATTTCTTACAGAAAAATGCTCCTGAATTAGCAGTTTCTGTCAGAAAGGTTTTAATTTTTTAAGGACAAGCATGTTTAAAGTAATAGAAGTTCAGTTTCTTTACTTTCTGACAACTCTGTGTTAGTTTTTTTCTAAGTGTTTCTTAAATCCTATAAAGCACTCAGAGCTCCTTTGTTGTGAGACATTATAATCTATTTTATTAATATTCTCCAGGAGAAGACAAAGATTTCGTAGTCACAATAACAGACAAAGGCTTTTGTCAATTAAAGAAAAATAAACAGAGAACTTGCTTCTGTACAGCTTTAGCCTTAGTGTAGAATAGATATAGGTCACACAAATTCCCTAGTGCAAATGTAAAAGCACCATATTCTATTACAGAACTAGTATAGTCTTGCACAAACAGACAAATAGACAAACAAAAGACTAACAAACCAAATTTTTCACTTGATGGAGAATAGAATTTTCTCTGCCAAATAGACCAAAAAACAAATTCCCATTTGATGCCGTTGTATTCATTTACTGTTGCTGTGTAACAGATTACCACAAATTTAATGGCTTAAACAAAGAAACACGCATTTCTTTTTGCATAATTTTTGAGGGCTCAAGAGTCTGGGCAAGGCTTAGCTGTGTTCTCTGCTTTGGAGTCTCACCAAGCTGCAGTCGAAGTCTAGATTAGACTGCAATCTCCTCTGCAGCCTTGACTGGGGGAAGAATCCACTTCCCAGCTCACTCACATGGTTGGCAGTTTCATTTTCTTGCAGCCCTCTTCATAGGCACTTCATGACATGGCTGCTTGTTTCTTATGGCCAGCGAGAGTTTCTCACTCAAGGGAGGCCCAGCCACTCTTTTAAAAGACTTACCCGATACCGTCAGGCCCACGAAGCACAATCTCCCTTTCAATGAACTCAAAATGAGTTGATTTGGATATGAATTATCTGCAAAATCCTTCATGCTTGCCATGTTCTGCAGGCTAGAGGTAATCACGGGCCCTGCCCACACTAAAGGAGAGAGAATTGTACACGGTGTGAACATCAGGGAGCAGTCATTATGGGGAGCAAAATTTTCAGTTTTAATACATTTCAATTTATTAGTTTATTACTTTTATGAATCATGCTTTTGGTGTTGTGTCTAAGAGGTCTGCCTAACTCAAGTTTAGAAAACTTTTCTCTGTTTTCTTTTAAAGTGTTTAGTTATTCCTCTTACGTTTAGGTCTGTGATTAATTTTGAATTAATTTTGTGTATGATATGAAGTAAGGGTCTAAACTCATCCTTATGAATGTGGATATCTAATTGTCTCAACTTTATTTGTTGAAAAAAAATAAAAGATAATCTCCTCGTTGACTGCTTTTATATTTTTTTTTTGAAATTATTTGACCGTGAATGTAAGTGTTAATCTGGACTTCCAACTGCGTTTTATTGATATGTACATCAGTCTTCACAAAGAGTACCACACTAACTTGATTAATGCAATCTAGGAGTCAGCTTTGATATCATGAACTGTAATCCTTCAATTTTGTTCTTAAAAAAATTATTTTGGCTATTCTGGGCGTTTTGCATTTTCATATACATGTTAAGAATGGTTTTTCATTCACTGCTGGGATTGAACAGAGACTGCACTGAATATATAGATCATCTCTTTACTGAAAAGACTCTCCTTGTTCCAGATCTCAATTCAGTTGGTCCTCCTTGCATAGTTCTTTGGTTTAGAATATAATTTTTGGCAATTTGTTCCCTTTATCTTTGTTGTAGGAGGAAATCTGGCTTTTTTTTTCAACTGCTACGTTGTACTCACAAGTGGAAAATCTCCCAGGTTAACTTTAAAGTAGCAAATAACACAGGATCTGACAAATAACCATCCTCCATGCCTGCTTGGTCTGTGCCAGACATGCACAATTGAAAGCACTCTACACAGATAGCATACTTATTCCTCACAAAGTCCACCCAAACAGGATATCATTGTTGTGTGATATTTTACTGATAAGGCAGAGAGTAGCTTTATAAGAGAGTCTCTAAGTTCACCAACATTCGAAGCAGAGAATCTTGAGTTTTCCATCCTGGCAGTCTAGCTCTAAGGTCCTCCTCTAAAAACAATTGTAATATTAACTGAATAAAACCCAAGGGTAGAGGCTGATTTTAACATCTAGTAATCTTTTAAAAAGTTAAGTAGTCAAAAGTGAATTAAACAGAAAGATAAAACCAAATATTCATAAACAGAAGTCTGGACTATGCAATGAAAAATAAGAGTTTCTTTTGATGTGCCCAAAAATATTTATAAAATTACTGACTATTTTAATTAAATATTAATATTTAAATATTAAACACAAAGGAGAAACTTTATCGAAGACCCAAGTATGAGATATGTTTAATAGCTGTTAATAATGTGTTGAAAAGTCTGCATGGGAGAAAAAGCAGTATTTAAACCTAGATGGCCTCCTGATACTGATTTTACATGTTGGAAACTATAGGAAAATAATTTCATCTCTGAGATGTAAGTGATTTCATGTGTGTGTTTGTGTGTGTTTGTATGTGTGTGTGCTTATGAGCTTGTAGACAGTAATGTCATACATAAGTATTAGTTATCAGCATCTAGCTTTTAGAATGTATTGGTTTTTCCAGGGTTCCCAAGAAAATCTTGGATGGTTTTGATAAGAAAAAGTTGAATTCTGGCACTAAAAAAAAAAAAAATATCCATAGTGATGATGATCCTACTTATGACCAAGCTCCAGAAAAAAGTTTAGACATTCACTGTATGTTCAAAGTATGGGATTTTGAATTTTACTAACAAACAACTAATGTTGATGAATACAAATTATGGAGTTAAACAAAGAAAAAAAATACAAAACAAGATGTTTTGATTTGCGTACTAGCAAATGAGAATTCGGCTTTCACATCCACATCAGTTATGAAATATTTCAGCCCATAGCAGGGACACGCTGAAGGAATAGGAGTCATTGTGCTTTTAGGCAATAACGATGTTTTTCATAAAGATAGCATTGAACTCATCAATTAGCATACCCTGATGCTTTCCTGCTAGACATTAGGCACAGAATTGAAAAGAAACAAGAACTTTACTGCAAACTCAGAAATGAGCTGCACATAAAACTTAAGGTCAGAATATTAAAGGAATCATGACCAGTGATATTAGACTCAGCCATTTTTTTTTCTTTTTAGACATGATAAGTTTACTAATTATGAGCATTCTTTCCATCTTTGTAATAGCAGAATTTGTTCTAGGAAATTTTGCCAATGGCTTCCTAGCACTGGTGAACTGTATCAACTGGGTCAAGGGACAAAAGATCTCCTTAGCCGATGGAATTCTCACTGCTCTGGCGGTCTCCAGAATGGGTTTGCTCTGGGCATTAGTAATAAATTGGTATGCAACTGTGTTTAATCCAGCTTTATATAGCTCAGAAGTAAAAATTATTGTCTATATGATCTGTACAGTAAGCAACCATTTTAGTGTCTGGCTTACAACTAGCCTCAGCATACTTTATTTGCTCAAGATAGCCAATTTCTCCAGCCTTATATTTCTTCACCTAAAGTAGAAAGTTAAAAGAGTAATTCTCATGATACTGTTTGAGACTTTGGTCTTCTTGGTTTTTCATCTTGCAGTTGTAAACATAGATGAAAATATGCAAATGAATGAATGTGAAGGAAACATCACCTGGAATACCAAATCGAGGGACATGGTGCACATTTCAAATATGACTGTATTTATGCTTGTGAACTTCGTACCCTTTACTATGTCCCTGATGGCTTTGCAGCTGCTAATCTTTTCCCTGAGGAAACATCTCAAAAAGATGTAGCTCAATGGCAAAGGATCCCAAGATCCCAGGACTGAGGTCCACATAAGAGCCATTCAAACTGTGATCACCCTTCTCTTGCTTCTTGCTATTTACTTCCTGACTCCGATCTTCTCAGTTTGGAATTCTAATATGATGAGGAACAAAACAGATTTCCTGCTTTTCAGAGTTCTTGAAATCCTGTATCCTTCAGACCACTCATTTATCCTGATTTGGGGAAACAAGAAGCTAAGATAGGCCTTTCTGTCATTTCTGTAGCAGCTGAGGTGCTGGCTGAAAGAAAGGAAGTAAGCAGGGCATCATGTGTCTTCTGGCAGAAAACAAACTGATGGAGTCTGTAACGTTTTATATTTCTGCTTTTCCTAATGTGTGTATAATTGGGTAAGGTTTACCTAGAAAATCTTTTACCTAAGTTTATCACAAAAATATACATGTGTATATGTTTATGAAAAATACAAGGAAGATTGTATGATTACCATATGTTTTTTTTAGGTAAGCAATCTAATTTTACAAGATAGTGTAAGAAATTCCTCAGAATTATGAAGCCGTGAGTATTTCACATACATAGTCTATGTTATCATCTTGGAATTGAAAAATTTACAATCTATATTTATGCACTTTAAAGGATTGACAACTCATCTAAAAAATTATTGCTATTTTCTATTGTAATTAGTACCACACATGTGTACCATAGTGTGTTTAGATTTTATTATTTGAAAAGTCCAGTCTTCTGGGTGCTAAGGATATTCAATTCTAGATCACGTATTGAGAGTCTACGGCCATGTTACCCTGAACAAACCTGATCCCGTCTGATCTCGAAAGCTAAGCAGGGTCAGGCCTGGTTAGAACTTGAATGGGAGACCACCTAGGAAGACTAGGTGCTGTAGGTGTAAAAAATAAAAAAATAAGAGATTGTAAACTGATAAGGTCCTTGCAATCTGTGAGGTCAATCAAGGGTTGCCTCGCCTAAAAAATTAAAAATAAAAAAATAAAAAAATATAAATCATGCATTGAGGATGGATGGTTGATAGGTATTATTCCATTGTGAGTTCTTACTTCATGGTTAATTGAGAACAATCAGAGCTGTTGTTAGGAAAAGATGTACACAATAAAATTAAAGAGTGACATATTTAGAATAATTTTTATATTTGCGTACAATAAACAGTATTAAAGATTATTAGATTTAGTGCAAGTAGGCAAAAGCTTAGAAATAAATCTAGTTCTACAATAGAGATGAAGAAGAAAGAAAAATGGTCATGACATTTCGAATGTTGCTATGTTTCCATACGCAGTTAGGAAAGTCATTTCTTACAGTTTTGAAATGAAGTTGAAAACCGGTGTCAAATTATCCAGTTTTCTTAACCACCTTTGGGCCTCTGAATTGCCAATCATCTCTTCTGTCCTGCTAGCTAAAATTTTCTTTTAAACTTCAGATATGAAGACCCAGATAAGAATAGTAAAAAATTATAGTATGGAAGTCAGTGATCTTTTTGCATATATGAAAATGGTATATATGATGTCTATGTAATGATGATCAGAAAAGTCTTCAAGATCTGTTTTGTTATAATCTTGTGGAAAGTGGTGAAATAGAAAGTGTTGACATAAATTTGGTAGCAAGTTCTATTACAAGAAAAAATGTATAATTTTGTTAACAACTGAATTTACACATCTATATTAATTCTTAGTATTATGAAATTTTAACATTATCTGAACTTTAAGATAAATATTTTCCACAGATAGTTTATTCATTTATTTTCAACCATCTGCTGCCCCAGCAGAATATAAGCACTGTTATGTGGGGAATGTCTATCC